GGCTGAACAAGCCCAGCTCCCTCAGCCTCTCCTCGTAGGAGAGATGCTCCAGTCCCATCCTCATCCTCATAGCCCTCCACTGAACGCTCTCCAGTAGCTCCTCATCTTTCTTGAACTGGGGAGCCCAGAACTGGACACAGGACTCCAGATGGGGCCTCACTAGGGCAGAGCAGAGGGGAAGAAGAATCTCCCTCGACCTGCTGGCCACACTCCTCTTCGCAGCCCTGCACGCTGCACAGCCTGTCCACACACCGTCCACCCCCCGGGCTGGGGGGACCTGTGCCCTCCGCACCCCCGGGGAGCTCGGCAGCACTCACTGCACACCAGCACTGTGAGCGGAGGACCTCAGTGTTAGGCTTTAGACTGAAAATTTGTGAAGCAGAATGAATCCTTGACCAGAAGGTGCTGCTGCTGGTGGCTGGAGCAGCCTCTTTCTTTCTCCCACTCCCCCAGCCAAGAGGGCTGCACTGACCTGTTTGTTGCCTCTTCAGCATCTGGCCATATTTCATTATGATAACTATATTTCACCTTCATTGATTTCTGCTGGGAAATCTCATGAATTTAAGCTACTTTATTCAGCAGAGGGATTTCTGCTGATGTCGCCCAAGGCTCCTGTGCTAATGATGCCTCATGCTGCCAGCTCCTGCTCCCCATGCAGCTCTCAACCACGGCCCCTGTGCAAATCCCTGCTAGGGAGAGCAGAGCAAAACACCCCGACCAGAGGCATGCAGTCCCCCTCCCTGCTTTCCGGTGCTTCATCCTTCCGTGTGAAAGCAGAGAAGGAACACAGAGTTCAGTTGGGTCCTCCCCACCCCCCCCAGCAATGCCCAGCTTGTGTCCCACCATCTCTGCCCTCAGAAGGCAAGAGCAGAGTCAGAAGAATATTTACTTTCACCAAAGCAGCTTCTTAACACGCCAATACCCCCGTACCGATGCGCCAGGTGACAAATTCGCTGAGTTAATGGAGCAGCACCCAAAGCACCTCGCCTCGGTGCGCCCGCCCTGCTGACTTTGCACCGGGACGGATGCTGAGCACTCACACGGGACCTCAGCTAGGGCTGGAGCAGCAGCCGGAGCAGAGACAGCTTAACCCACCCCAGTTCGGTGTGCTTTCACCCCCTGCCCCTGGAGCACGGCGCAGTAGCTGTTCTGGTGGTGGAATATTCACTGCGCAGCAGAAGGGACAAGCGTTTGCTGTTTGCCACAGCCCAGCGTGACTCAGCTGTCGCAAGCAAACCAGCTGCTGGTTTAAATCAAGAAGTAGAAAAGGAGGAGCGCTGACCTTTAGGAAATTACAGTGCTGTACTACAAATGCTAGACATACATCTATAAGCACCCAGCTCCCCAGCGGAGGCCACCAGCTCTGCTTACGCTGCAGTTTAATCGAACCCCTGGTACCCAGGGCAAGGCCTCCGCCGCGTACGCGCCATGGTTTGTCTGCTGTGGGGCAGGAGATGTGCCCAGCTACCCTCATACAGCACCCCCGCTCCCTTCCCGAGGGCCTCGGGGGGTTCCCCTGAAGGGCTTCAGCAAAGAGCGATTTTTTTTTTATTTTTTCTGAGCATATGGTGGATGTCAAGGTCAAACCAAGTGTACAGGACTCGGGGTTGATG